CATAGCGTTCCTTGACAGTGTCATTAAGTACTACTTGGTTCCAATGGAATTTCCCATTGGGAACCTACTAGCACTAAGTTGCTAACTGGTTAGCAAGATGCTTCCGACAAACCGGCCACAACCAAACATGCTTGCGAGACTTCCGCCACAACAATCCCGCCCCCTTGATAAACATTCACTTTATGCACTCGTGTAATGTTGGGCATCACTCGGCAGAATTCGGAAATACGTACGTACGACGTACGCCATGACTTTAAAACTGCAGTGTGTGACATGTAATGGTCAGACTGCATGAACTGCTCTCCCTCCAAAGCTTCTCCACCTCCAGGCCATTGTGATTAAAAAACTGGCTCCCACAACGTCCACATAACCTTTTTTGCCAAGTGATTACCAAGTTTGTTTATATAGATACAGTAATAAATCTCATTTCATTAGTCTGTGTAGGATATAGATCTTATAAAGGCCTAAGATAGCAAATATACCCGCTATCTGTGCCACATTGTTGTCATGTTTTAGTGAGCTACTTAGCAGAGCCCTTTAAACAGACTAAGTTATTTTAGTTGCTTAGTATAATTGTGAGATTGCATTGGTTTGAAGCATACTTATACCCCTTTTATGGAGTCTAAATCTTGAGTGTGACATGGGGATGTGGTGGGCGGTGGTGGTGTGCAACCAGGGCAAGACGAGGAAGAGGTGCCTGCTTGAAGACGAGCCAATGAGGCAAGATCTGAAGCTGTTCAAAGGAGCCGGAGAGGATTAACAGGAGTATATATCCAAAAAATATTTTGGTGTCTACTATCTACTGTGTGATAGAAATAATCCTAATTCAACATGTTTTATTTACAGCTCTGAGCACTACATGTAGTCAAGATACTGTTGTTAGTATTTTATGGGGTAATAATTACCTGTGAAACATCAAAGAATAAGAATAAAATCTGGCGATTAACAGCATTTTTTGCGTGTTGCTGCCATCTGTTGTTCACTACAGTCTCAGTTCAACCCTTTACACTTTTCTCAGTCACATTCAAGCATAATGACGATCTCTCATAGAACATTGTATCAAATTTACCCCACATTGTTAAAATGTTGATTTTGACTGCAAGTAATAAACAGTTTGGTGTGGTCTAGTCATAGTTTGAATTTGAATTTAGTGTTTAATCTTTTGAGGGTAATAAGAATTAGGGTGATATCAAGGAGGCCTTCCTGAAACAAAGTCTTCATTGTAAAAGAGGAGGAGTCAGAAACAGCCTTGGCTATGCCAAAACCTTATATGAACTACAAAATGCAAATAATTGCTGTATCAAATCATCAGCTTTTTATATAGAGAGCCAAATCACAACACATATCATCTCAAGGCATTTACAGCATCAATTCAATCAATCATACAAACAGAAACCCTGCAGATTTCATCAAGTCATTGATATAGCTTTCGTTTGACAACGTTACATTTTTCATGTAAATAAAAAAATTAATGGGTAATAGCACTGCTGCCTTGCAGCAACGGGGTTCCGGGTTCAATTGCTGACCCGGGGTCTTTCTGCATGGAGTTTGCATGTTTTCCCTGCACATGCGTGGGTTCTCTCTGGGTACCCCGGCTTCCTTCCACAGTCCAAAAATAAACAAAACATGACTGTTAGGTAAATTGGCTGCTCTAAATTCTCCTTAGGTGTGACTGTGTGTGAATGGTTGTTTGTCCTGTTTGTCTCTATGTTGTCCTGCAATGGTCTGGCGACCTGTAATTCTGGTTTTAAGGTATTTTTCCTCAATAAGCTTTCCAGTTAACACTGAAACTCTTTTAAACTAGAAGAATTAGGCATGACATGTAATAAAATGTTGGTCCAAACTGAGGCTTAGTGTCTAAGCCCACTCTGTGAGAATCCATTTAAACCATGACACATGCTAGTTTTGTGTTGGGTGTCAGAGTGCGTGTGATCCTTTGGTGTATGGACAGCTGACATCCAAGGACCCACACATACAGGATCTACATAAAAGGCAGTTTAACGTTGAGTGAAAGTCACTCTGGCACCGAACCCTCTCACTCACAGGATGAATGCTTTTCAGACTGTCTTCCTCTTGGTTCTTGGTCTCTCTGTAGGTGAGTAAAACCTTCCACATATTGTGACACTGCTTAAATATATCTAGTCGATTTGTAAATATGCAATACAAAACTTTCTCTGCAATAGCTCTTTAGAGCCTTGTGTGACTCATTGTTGAACCACCTTTTTTTCTTTTCTGTGATCACAGTCACAGCAAGTCCTGAAAATGATTTATTTCTATCTTGTCAGAGTCATTATAACAGAAAAAAAACTTTGTTCAAGACAATTTTACTGTATCTCTGCCGGAATGTGAAGTATTTATTTAAGAGTGGGGCACACAGTGGAGTTGTGGATAAGCATGTTGCCTTGCAGCAAAAAGGTTCTGGGTTTGATTCCTTGTCTTTCTGCCTGGAGTTTGCATGTTCTCTCCGGGTACTCCGGCTTCCTGCCACTGTTCAAAAACATAACTGTTGGGTTAATTGGCTTCTGTATATTGATATTATGTGTGTGGATGCATGGTTGTTTGTCTTTGTGTGTTTCCATGTTACCCTGTAATAGACTGCAGAGCTGTCCAAGGTGTACCACACCTCTCGCTTATAGACTGCCGAAGATAAGGATGACCCTGACGAGGACTAAGCGAGAGAAGATGGATGGATGGATGAATGGATGGTTTAAGAGCTAAATGTGTTTTGCTGCCTTCTACCCCTTTTCTTTTAGAATTGCCCTGTATTTAGCCCAGTTCATATTAATATTAACTGTGAACAGCCTCTGAGTTCCTGTGAAGATAAGCATCCCTATAACATAATGCTGATACCCTCATGTTTTGTTTTTTAAACAAAAAGAAATGTATATATATATATATATATATATATATATATATATATATATATATATATATATATTCTAAAGATAAAAACAACATTTAATTGTTTGTAGGTCAAGACTACATACTTATAATTTGATTCGTTTGTGATTGGTTGTACTGAATTGTATGGCCCTTCCCAGTCAAAAGGCAGCGGAATGGCAGCAAAATCCCCTCCAACTTCAAACCACTGGCCTTCTCCTGGCCGTGCATATTTTTTTAACCTGACTCCACCCTTTCACTGAATTACAAGGTCTGACCAGGAGATTATGCTTTTCTTTAGATCTTAATGTCCAAAAATCATGACGGAATGAATTTTTAGATGGCTACTACTGTATCTTTTAACTCTTCATTAGTATGTTATTCTTATACATTTTTTCTAAGGTCCACATTTGTGTAACCATTGTTTTCTATAATCTCTTTGTTGCTGTAAACACCATAATTTCCCCATTGTGGGACAATAAAGGGATTTTCTATTCTATTCTATTAGTACAAGAGGATAAAAACTGTTGAACACCATGTTTTCCTACAATTCCTACAAAATGTGTCGTAACATTGTTACTTCCATTAATAGATAAAATACAGATAAATTTGTTGTGGTTTTGTGAATTAATGTAAAAATCTGAAAACGTCATGATAATTGCTCCTACTACACTTATACACATTTAAGTTTAAATTATAACATGATATGTTTCTGCAGCCCAATCTTTGGACTACAGGGCTCTCCAGCAATTCAGAAATATGATCCTGTGCATGATGCCCGATAGCTGGCCTGTTTTTGACTACGCAGACTATGGCTGCTACTGTGGCTATGGGGGATCTGGCACACCTGTAGATGATCTGGATAGGTAATTATTTAAGCCTCTTTTAGTAGCAATTGATAGAAAAACAAACAAACTGAAGTTTGAATTAAAACATTTCTTCACCTTTTGTATTACCATGAAGGTGTTGCCAGGTTCATGACCAGTGTTACAGTGATGCTATGCAACATCCTGAGTGCTGGCCCATCCTGGACAACCCTTACACGGAGCTCTATGACTACACCTGTGATGAAAGTAATAGAAAGATCACCTGTACAAGTAAGTTTGATTGATGTTTTAATCACTGACAATCTAGTTGAACAGTTCAGTCCATCCTCTCAAAGGAGGGCAGGATCCCTGCCAAACGAGCTGCGGCGCAGAGCCACCCAGTGTTACTCTGATTCAGCAACCTTAGTAAGCAGGCAGGAATGTGATCCAGGTCAGGGAAGACAGATCAGACAGGACAGTTGAGGAATCCAGGAGTCCGCAGGCCAGTCAGGGGATCTGATCCTCACAGGAACAGAACAGATCCAGGGTTCCAGGAATCCACAGAGCGTGAAGGCAGGTTCAGAGTTCGATGAGTCCAGCAGCAAGCTCAGACAGAAACGCACAGATGCAGACAGGCAGGCTCAGCAGTTTAGGGAAAGAGACAAGACATGGTACCGGGATTACTGTGAAACTTAAAACTGGTCTCTACCTAGGAGCCAAAACCTCTCAAACCAATGGCCTCCGGGGACAGGAACATGAACCAAGGAATAAACTCAAACTAACAAAACAAACACACTACAAACTTCAAAGAATGACCTGGCCACGATAGCTGGCCTGAGCCAAATATAAAGGAACGCGCAGTGGTTAGTGAGCACGACCCATGTGCGGAGGCTTTAGTCCTCGACGCGGCTGACCTGGGTACAAATCCAGCCTGTGGTCCTTTGCCGCATGTCTCTCCCCCTCTCATACCCCCTTTCCTGTCAGCTAACTGTCAGAAAAACAAGCCACTAGTGCCATAAAAACACACACACAAAAAAAAGT